TCTCTGCTCATCAGGATTTATCTGGTCACCATGTGTACCAATGCAATAGATACGAGGATAACTGAGAAAGGCTCCTTTTTCATCTATTCGGGCCAAGTGATGATAAATATTTGCCATCCAGTTGAAAAGCAGATCCTTTGTGGAAATGCTTTCTACTTCATCACACACCGTATTTCCTTTTTTACTTCGAATATTTTTCCACTTCTCATCAAGGCTCTTTGCTGCATTAAATAAAAGAAAAAACATTGTGCGCGATGAGAGGAAAGCTGGGAGAATCTCCAAAAACACTGCCTGCCCTCCACAATCCCAAATGTGCATGAATGGCTGAGGCTTTATATCTTGTATTGGCACTGGCTCTATCTCTTGAGCACGTTTTATTGCTTTTGCAAGAAATGAATCGACTTCTTCTCTGTAAATTTTTTGATCAGAAAAATCTGAAGGGCAAAATGGTGATTCTATTTTATATAACAGCAAAGCAGCAACTGCAGTACGAAGATCTTCAGAACCAGAATCTTCATCATAAACTGCAGAAATTAAGTAAGCAACTTCATCAATTTCATCATTTTCATCAACTTGCTTCCATTTTTTATTTTCACTAAGCATGTGGCTTTTAAACTGAACCGAGCGATCATGAGACTTAAGCTGTAACTTGTAATGGGGTTCATCTGATGGAGATTTGGTTGTTGTGTTGACATCATCCTGTTGTTCAGCTGGTGACATATCAATTGGTCGAACTGATTTAACATCAGAAATAATGGTGCTATCAGTATCTCGTTGATACTTCTCTTTCATGAGCGATCGAGTGAAACATGTTTTCCCAACTCCAGCTGATCCAAGAAGCATGATACGCGAGTAGGCAACATTGACTTCTTTTTCTGCAACTTCTTTATCGTAAAAATCTATTCAAAATCATTCATAAATTATCACTGAAGTGTCATTACCTTTCTTGGCTCTTATTTTATTTGCCATAGCTTGTATTTCCTTTTCTTTGTTATGGTCATGATTAATTTTTTTCTATCATTGTGATAGTATAATTATATAGCAATACTTCACTTACCATCTGTAAAAAAATAAAATATTAATTAATATGCAAAAATAACTCACTGATGGCTGATTTAATGCAACGAGAGGATAATGTAGAATCAATAATTATAACATGAATTTAGTGACACTTACCGCCTATAATAAAGCAAAAAATCATAGCTCTTGTCATGCTTAAAATAACTTACTGGCACTGAATACTGTTGTTACCCATGGAAAAAGTGATGCCGGAAAATAATTTAAAATAACTTAATTCATATTATGTTAACTCACCCTTGTTCTTCTAATTTCAGACATTTTCTTGTTGATGAGTATCTTAACTACAAAATACAAATGGAAATTTTTTTACATAGATCAGTGTATCGCATTTTAAATATTATTGCTATGCAAAAATTACAAACCAATTGTAAGTGTAGCGTTATGTGGACAAAATTGTGATACCATATACAAGGTAATTTCTGTGATGCGTTAGTTTTGATTATTTCTGTGCTCACCTTAATTCAAAAAAATCACATGCCCAGAACACAAAAATTAACTCACACAAATTTTGATTTTGAAATACAAAATAAGTTCAATTCATAAAAATAGGGCTTTTAATGTGAAATCAATGACATTATTGAAGTAAGCAGCCACACTGCGCTATAATAACAGATGCATAGGTGGCTGCAGGGGCAGGCATTGAGGGCAATGCCCTACTAGAATTTCTTACCGGAAGATGACATCATTATTATTAGCAGTTAATTAATAGTTATTTAGTAATTATTACATCATTATAGCTAATTTTAATGACAAAAACTACATTATTTTGCTCAACAAAGTGATAATTAGTGGAGAATAAGCTGCTAACTACATGGTTTATTCACAGTAAGCCAGTCAGCCACTTCATAGGTCCATATCTATGGCCACTCTTGCTATAGCCCCTTCAGGAAGACATAATCAAAAGTAACCTGCAGCTAGATTAACTGACTATTTCATATAGCAGCTTCATTATTAATCATCACTGTCAGTCAGCTAGGACTCATTCAACAGCTAAATCACCTAGCTACTGATACTCTATCATTGATAGAGGTCTTTAGATGCTGAATTTTCTCCTCTTGAATATAAGAATGGCAGGGTAACTCTTCATTGAGTAGTTAAGAGCCTTTTTCAACTGGATTTTTTCCCCAAAATGCTGAAATAGAAGTCATAACAGGCTTAAACTCAAGAGCAAGGTATATGGGTGTGGTCATAGCCACACCTACTTTTTGACCACTCCCACTTATAGCCACACCTTTGCCCTACTTGCAGTGAAATCCTGCAGCCGCCTATGAACAGATGCATGGAATAGAAATACAAATGCAGTTCCTTTCCAAGTCCTTTTGTAAGGAAATAGTCAGGCCATGGCTGACTATTCCTTTCCCTTCTATAACTTTTATGATTAACTTTAGGCCTTACTGAACTGTACCGTTCCAGTTGCCTAAACATATTCATGCACAGTGCATCACCCTCCTCTGCATTCCAAAAGCAAAAGTAATTTACTCTTGCAAAAAGGAATGAAAAGAATGAAGAGGAGAGTAATTTTATATTTAGAAGACCAAATCAATGAAATTATCCTTTAGCAATATTTTAGTTTAGTCTGGTAAGTTTGGTTGATTGCCATTGGTAGATATTGATGTATAAATCTAGATAATTTCAATTGCCATGGCCATAAACTAGTTTTTAGTCCACCAAATCATCATTGTCCTTCTCTCGTTGATTTGACCTTACCACCTCATGGTTTCAAATCCGGCATTGCACGTGTGTAATGAAAAAATTTTCGACAAGCAGGAAATAAATCAGTCCACTATGATAACACCCTAGTTTAGGGATTATCATATCTATAATCACATTTCCCTCGGGCTGCAAGCCCAAGGGTAAGTATTAGTTAAAGCACTGTTGAGAGTAGGTTACGGAAATTATTGCACGAGGGGCAGTCGAGAGGAAAATGTAGCACGAGGCGAAGCCGAGTGCTACATTTTCCTCGAGACTGTCCCAAGTGCAATAATTTCTGTAATCTACGAATCAACAGTGCTTTGATTGGTTTGTAGTGGTGCGTGGGCGGATCAAATGAAATTTCAAAAGTCGCACAGGTCGCCAGCGCAAGGCACTCAGATCTCATTTATCACTATTATTATTGTTACATGTCTAAAGTATATAGCTGAGGCTGTTACTTGCCTCTATCAAAGCTTGTGGTTAACAGGAAAGCCCATACATATTATACTGTGCAGTACTATATATTCCACACAGTGCTACATTTTCCTACCATGCGGTTATTGGAAGTTGTAGCACTGGCGGCGCCTTTGATCCGTCCACGCACCATACTACAAGTGATTATAAATGTCACCAGGGTGTTATAACATCGTTCTGATAGTGATGACATCATTCCTTTATGTCATTGTGGTCATCATTAACCAGTCAATATTCAATGATTACGAGTAAATCTATCATTTACTTGTTTAGACGCTTTCACTAACTTTAAATAAGTCAAACTGATGATAAAAAGCCAACCTTTAGCTCTCTGCCTGTCCATCTACCAAAGATCCTCGTCAAAAAGGCCGTGGGCGAATCTAGAATTTACCGTGGCGTTTTTCACAGTTGTAGTCTCACCACTAGAATTATTATTAGAGCATAAAATCTAATGACCTATGAAATACCGTGCTTACCCTCATTTCAATTCTTTAGTCATGGGCTTGAAACCATAGACATTAACTGAATGGTCTATGCTTACACCAAGCATAAACATTTTGTTTGTCAGCCTTTTCCAGTGTAAGATAACAGCCCCCACCCCCAAATAATTTTTTTTATTTAAATTTTTTTATTTAAATTCACTGAGATCTAAAACTGAATGCACACAAATGTAAGTAACAACCAGTTTTATGCAGCAAAAATATTTTCAAAGTTTATCCAAGTACTTGTCCAGTGAAGGAACGGTTTCAGCTAGTCCTTTCCTTTTTCTTGTTTCCACTACAACAGATCCAGCCATTGACTTGCTGTCCAAAGGATCACCAGGCAATAGCTGCCAATGATCAAACACACACTGTGGGAATGTTTGACCTTCAGTGCTGCCACGAAGATCACCAGTGAATCCTAATAATATATTAATAGCAATAATAATAATCTATATTTTGTCACATGCAAAACAATGATTGTTATTATACATAATTTTTACTGTACAGTAAAATAAACAAACAAACATTTTACACAGATAATGAAAAGTCTGCAAGATAATGGCCAGTAAACTATGCATGCATCAAAGTGTTTGTAGTCAAGAGTGTGTGTATCTTACCAAAGGATTCATTAACAGGTAGATAAGCTTTCACAACAAACATTGATGTACCAGCTAGTGGACATTCCTCAAAAATGTGTCCTCTCCGACGATTAAGAACAGAATAAATGCTACCAATAACACTATCAGGACACTACAGGAATAAAAATACATAATGATTGAAGAGAAAGTCTGGAGTCTGGTAGCTACCATGAATGTGACCAATGGAAATTAGCCACAAATCTATACCAACAAGATGATCTTAAATGCCTGATTGCCTTTAATGTAGTATAAATTATGAAAGTGAAGAATTTTCTTCTTTTTATTTTTGACAAAATTTTGTCAAAGACCGACTTTGGTCTAATTTTTGAGCAGCTTTAAAAATTTGTAAAAAATCTAACTTTAATTGTAGTCAGCTCAAACTTTCTACACAGCATAAGAACATGTATATGCATCAGAAAAATTATAAAAATGGAGGATTCACTACTTTTCAATTTTGACAAAATTTGACCATGAACCCTGTACTATAGTACAGGGACTTTTGTCCAATTTTTGAGCAACTTAAAAAATTCGTAAAAAATCTAATTTTGATTAAAATGAACTCAAACTTTTTACACAGCGTAAGAACATGTATATGCATCAGAAAAAATTATAAAAATTGAGAATTCACAAATTTTTATTTCTGAAAAAATTTTACCAAAGACCCTGCACTATATAGTACAAGGACCTTGGTCCAATTTTTGAGCAACTTTAAAAATTTAAAAGTGACATATCAAGTTATCAACCAAGCAGAATCATTAACACCAAACATAGAATTATTACCTGTATTTCTACACTGTACACTGGTTCCATAAGTTGTGGTTTAGCTGTCAGTACTGATGAGTAAATGGAGCGACGTGCTGCTGGTATTATCTGACCCCCACCACGATGCATTGGATCACAATGTATAAAAGCATCAATCAAATCAAATCTAACACCTCTCATGTTCTCCTCACAAAATACACTCTATAAATTATACAAAATAGTATTAAATACCGTATAGCTAATTAAAATTTTTATCAGTCAAAAATTTCATCAAAATCTTGATTTTTGTCAATAAAATTTTTGTCATTTTTGTTATTAATCCACATACTACCCACGTGGAACAAAAATTTCGTCAAACAAAAATACTGGAAAAAATTTTGACCGACAAAATTTGGAACTATACCGTAGCATCATTGAATAAAAATACCATCACTTCCTTCCTATGTGCAGTTATGGAATGCATGATTTACTTGTGTACTGGCTTTTATATAAAATTTTATGACTATGGATGGTATTTTTTTACAATTGGTCATCTCACATGAACATATATTATTAATGTTTAATTATTAATAATAACATTAATAATATGAACATACATAGTAATACAAAGTAGTGACTGACTAACCTCTCTAGTAGCCCATTGGAATCCAGCAATAATACCATCCTTAATCTCATTCAAAGCCATGCATCCTTTGGTTGAGTCAATGAGCTCTTGGGTATGAGTGATAACTCCTTATTTTAATAAAGTGATTAAAAGACATGTTGAGTTTTAGTTTCATTTTTTTATTTTTGGTCATAGCTTCATGCATCATGTGCCAATAATTATGTACATGCATAAGCCATTACATAGTATCTATGCATGCACAATACACAACTTGCATCTTTTTCAATCAATGCTATAAAATTGATGAATGGAAATTAAACTTTCTGTATAGGGAAAGTAGAAAATTTGTTGTAGCCATTCTCAATGGGTTCAAATTTTTCTAGCATAAGTTGGTATTTACATACCATGCTGTTAAAGGGATTTGGAATTTAGAAGCTTAATCCTTGAGCTAAAATAGCTAACTTAAACTTGAACATAAACTTCTAATGATATAAATAGAGTAAAATTACTTCGTCAATATCTTTCAAAGGTCACTAGAAAGCGAAGAAGCCTTCATGTAATTCCAATTAAGTTTATTTTGAGTTTTAGCAATACAAATGACATCACTTCCTTGAGTAACTGTTTCACAATAGGAAACTACAGGATCAGATTTCTACATAATAAATAAATATAACAATAAACCTATCATTAGTACTTTGATGGGAATGCAAGCGTGGCCATCTTCCAAATCTTTTAGGCAAATTTCCAAATGTAATTCACCAGCTCCAGCTACAATATACTGACCATTTTCTTCACTGGTGCACTGAAATAAAGCAAACAACATCAAAACTCTCATGATTTCATTACCTGAAGATAAAATAATTATCCACTATTGCCTGAACTAAAGGACCTGATTTTGCTAGTTGTGCTTGCCAATAAGGTAACATAATGTAGTGACAATTATTAGTATATAGCAAGAAGTAGTGTCTGGTGCTATAAAATAGCAAGCAATATAGTTAGTGTAGTCACTGCTTCTACTGCATATGGCCATAGCATTATAATGTCCTTTTTACCACTGTGAAAATGTTAGTGATGGACTGTGCTATTTCAAGAAAACTACAATTTTTTCAAAAAAAAATGCATAAACATTAATAGTAAAAACTTCATCATCTTTCATAACAATAATTAAATTTACACTAAAGATACTTTCACACTAAAAATGCTTTCATAGTACAAGGCAGATTGAGTTAGATTGAGCAGGCTGACTATCCTGAGGAGTAGCTTCAGTAGAAGTAGTTTGAGTAGCCTGAGCAAGCTGAGAAGGCTCTGACAGACTACAAATTAATCTACAATAGTCACTGCATTACAAAAAATTTCTTACTTATTAGCAGCTTCTTCAAATTTCATTAAATGAAGTTTTCTTTTCAGGCTTTCTTTAGTAATGTTAGGATTCTTTCTTACCATAGCACGAAGAACTTGAAATGCAATTGTTTGTGTATCACTACGTTGGTATTTATCCATTACTGACTGAAGATACCCCAAATCATCATCACAAATTTCGACAAATTTTTTGATTTTTTCAGCATCAAAAAAATTAGATGAACGCAACAAGTCATCTTCTTCTATATCTCTAATAAAAAAATTTTAAATAATTTCAGCAACATTATTTTGTACCTAGAAGCTTCAGAAATTTCTTGATGCCTTTGGTTACTATACAAACAACAATGTCAGATGCATGAACAATCAAAATTAGACTATTAACTCATACGTATATAAATCAGTAAGTTGACCAGAATCTCTTGTAGCTTTAACTCCTGCTTCAGTAATTTCTATGTTTGAAATACTAAATAGATAAGAACATGTATTTAAATAAAATACCATGGGTACTATCCTTATTTTTGGTTTGAATGTCTTCGACCTCTTGAAAAGGGTCAAAATCTGAGCATTGTTCATTTGTTGACTGGCAAAAGTTAACAACAGAAAGTCTCTATTGCGCATAATAAATTCAAATTTATAGAATGCTATAATAACAATACATTCTTATTAGTAGTCTAAAGCCAAGTTATACACTAGCCAAACATGTTGCTAGCAACATGTTGCCTAGTGTACGCCTGGCTTAAGGGAGTCAACCACGTCTTACAAAGTAACATAAAAAATTAAACTACATTATTAAGCTTTTAAAACTATTTTTGATTCACTTACACCACTGGCAGGTTTATAGTCTGAAACTTTAACTCTATTAATACATAAAAAATAGTAAAATAACAATCAAACTGTACACTTACTGATCAGCTAGCTGATGAAGATCAGCACATTTAAGAGCTTCAATCAAGTCTTCTCTACATCCACCACCAATTTTCCACTCATAAAGCAAATGAAGCATTGGATCATAACTATGAGCTGGATTTTGCTGGAGAGCCTTAAACTTTTGAAGCATTTCCAGGCATGCAGCAAGAGTAGCAGCTTTGTCACCAACTCTTTTCGATATTGCAGCCATTTCCTTTTCACTAATAGTGACAGGTACCTGTAAAGAATCATTATGTCAATAATAATTCATTTTGATATTTGCATTTTTACATTTTCAGCTGTCTGCTCTTCTTTTGGAAACCAATAAGATTCTTCAGGAGTCGGTTGTCGATATTTTTTTCTTTTTTGACAACACAAAGGCAAGTTAGCCGTCTGACCCAAAGCAGGAGAAATGTAATGAGGCTCATATCCATCACATGCAGTGCAGTCATAGTTAAGTTTTCTTGATATCTTTATCCTCTTTGTCAAATCAGAATGATTTCCTAGGGCAATATCTACCTCATTGCCACATTTCTCTAATAAACTCTTCAACTCTTGGCAAGTATTACTGAATGGTGTTATACTTGGTGCATCACTGAAACGCTCAACACTAACTCGTATTGTAGTACAAAGATCAGTGAAAGTAACCTGGTTGACACTTGGAGTTCCAAACTTAAAAACAATACGATTTCG